TATATTTTTTATGTATTGAAAGATAGAAGTATTTTAATACTTGGAAATTGATAGGGGCGGTTTATGAGGATTGTGCGGATTTGTGCGGATGAGGTACATCAAGGTTCAGGTTGTGTTGGCCTATCAGTGGTTATGATCTTAATTTTTTTACAGAAAAGCAGCTGATGAAACTCGCTCTACCCAGGGCTAGGTAGGTTAGCCTGCTTAGGGGTTGATAGGGGTGATTTATGAGGATTTAACGGGTTTTTTAGGATAAGATATATCAAGGTTAAGGTTGTGTTGGCCTATCAGTAGTTATGATCTTAATTTTCTTACAGAAAAGCAGCTGATGAAACTCGCTCTACCCAGGGCTAGGTGAGTTAGCCTGCTTAGGGGTTGATAGGGATGATTTATAAGGGATATAGTGATTTGTGGGGATCGGTTATATCAGGTTATAAATGGGTTAGCCTATTCGGGTTGAGAAGTTAACTTTCTTGTGAAAAAATAATTAATCAAACTCGCTCTACCCAGAGTTAGGTGGGTTAGCCTGGTTAGGGGTTATTAGGGGTGGTTTCTACCCCTTAACAGTGGATTCGGCCAAAATAAAAAAACACGGGTTCAATATTTTTTAGTGCTCTAACGATGTGCCAAGTTTGGTTAAAATCGGTGAGTGACACTTGGGTAGGGTTACTTGTGAGAATTGAAAAAAATTAAAGATAGTATTTTCGAGAAAATGGATTTTTAAATTTGAAAACGAAATTTTTCAAAAAAATCAATATTTCTTAGAACAAATTGGATTCTGATAAAATTCTATACATTTAAAAAGAATCGCCCAGATACAATGATTTGGGCCGAAATGGCATTTAAAACTAAGTGTGAACTTTCGGATCTGATACAATGCTAAAAAGCGTTTTTCGTTCGTATAGCGATAGCGGACTTACAAGAAGAGTACCTACCTTGTGGGTCACGGATTTTGATGAAACTTTGCTCATTCGTTCTCTCTTGGTTTAGGTACCGAAGCCTCCCTGCGTAATTTTGATAGTCAAGGCCGATATCGTGCTGCAGCAAGATATTACCGTCTAGTTATTGGGTTGGCGAGGCAAGATATTACCAGCAAGTTATTGGGTTATTACAATTGATCTTACCCTTGCTCGATCATACCTGTACATAGATGAAAAAAATAATAAATATGACCCTAACATGACCTTATACGGGGGGGGGGGTGAGGTTAACCGCACCTTACACATAATACCTTATCTGAACGTAGAATTTCTCGCTCTTTCCGAATCCGGGATAAAAATTATAGGTTTCTATTCAAAAAATGACTTTGACCTTCAAATGATCTTTAAAATAAATCTCAAGGTCCGATCCGTTTTCTGGGAAACGTGTCCCTCATTGTCCCAAATAACTTTTGTCTTAACAATTATTTTGTAGAATGCCAACCGTAGAAAATTTCGGGGTAGTTCTTTTAAAATGGGATACCTTGTATATATATATATATATACTACTGTGGGCAAAAAGTAAGGTGAATTTTCAATTTAAACTTCGCGGGCTTAACATTTCGGGCTAGTTCTTTTTTTCTTGAGTAGGTAGGACTGCGAATGACATCTGGGACAAATTTCATGTCAATGTCATCATCAGTAATATATTTACGCTTGTGTTTACCAAACGACCAAGAGTGCATGTTTCGATTTTTACAATGTCTGATTTAATTGAGCAAAGAAGTGCCATCAAATTTTGTTTGCGGAATGAAATTTCGGCTGCGGAAACGTTGAGGATGTTGCGGAAGGCCTTTGGTGATTCTACCATGTCGCAGAAAAATGTTTATAAGTGGTACAAAGACTTCAAAGACGGTCGAGAACGTGTTGATGACTGGGAGCGCTCCGGACGACCATCGACGTCAACAGATGACCAACACGTCAATAAAGTGAAGGAATTAGTGCTCGAAAATCGTCGGTTGACTGTTAGAGACCTTACTGATATGAGCGGAATATCAGAAGGATCTGTGAAAACAATTTTGAAAGACCATTTGGGCCTACGAAAAGTCAAATCTCGTTTGGTACCGAAAACGCTCAATTTCTTGCAAAAAAGTCGCCGCGTTGATGTGTGTGAAACAATGCTTTCTGACTATCAGGACAAGCTCAAATGCATGATTACGGGAGATGAGACTTGGATTTATGCTTACGACCCTGAAACAACCGACCAATCAAGCGAATATCGTGCTAAAGGCGAGGCCAGACCGAAAAGAGCACGTCAAAGTCGTTCAAAAATCAAGGTCATGATGACAGTTTTCTTCGATTTTCGTGGTGTGGTGCACTATGAATTCCTTCCACCCGGCCAAACTGTTAATAAGGAATATTATTTGAGCGTTATGCGTCGTTTGCGTGAAGCAATTCGTCTAAAAAGACCAGAATTATGGGCCAACAACTCTTGGTTTTTGCATCACGATAATGCACCATCTCACACTGCACTCGTTCTTCGTGACCATTTCGCCAAAAATTCGACGCATATCGTTCCGCAACCACCGTATTCGCCTGATTTGGCTCCGTGTGACTTCTGGCTATTCCCAAAACTCAAGAGACCACTCCGGGGAACGCGTTTCGAGTCGATTGAGGAGATAAGAGCTGAATCGAAGAAGACGCTGATGGCTATACCGGAAAGGGACTATTTGGCATGTTTCGAGGATTGGAAAAAACGTTGGCATAAGTGTATTTTATCGGGAGGGGATTACTTCGAAGGGGATGACATTGATGTAGAAGAATAAATAAAGATTTTTCATTTTAGAAACAAATTCACCTTACTTTTTGCCCACAGTAGTATATATTGTTAATATCAAAATTTTAATTATCTTAATAACTTTCGATTTAAGATATCTAACCTAAACAGCTGAACGATCAATTTTACCAATCGATTTTCAAAGATTCTGATTGTAGTTGGTCTGACGATCAAATACTAATTTCGATAGTAAAAACTACTGCAAATATTGTACATAATCCATTTTCAGAATAGAAATATACATAATTTGTAAATAATTGAATTGAAACAGTGTTTTATTTCTTAGTTTATCTAACATGAAGAAACCCTGATTTTTAATAAATTGGAATAATTTACATTAAGAAGCGTAAACAACATATTTTAATGATAATTTTAACGGTTTCGAAAACTTTTTCCTCACTAAAGCTTCCATACTTTTTCCTATTCTTAATTTAGTTAGATAGAGGCGAACATTGAAAACACGTATTACAAGTTTTGAACAAAATTTTGAACAAAATCGTGAGAGATTGACGTAAAATCAATGTCTTCGATGTTCGTCGATAACGGACAAGGGACGTCGGGTATTATTTTAAGGTCTACAAAAAGTTATTTCCAAAATTATGATAGATGTTGTCGATGTATTTTTTAATGTCGAATACGATGATGCTATTAGATTTATCATAAAACCTATTCTGTCAAGCGCTAGAAGGAAAAAACTACAAAAAAACCACTAAAAACCACTAAGAAATTCAGTTTTTGGCTTTTAGCGCTTGACAGAAAAAGTTTTATGATAAATGCAACAGCACCATTGTATTCTACGTAAAAAAATACATCGAAAATATATATCACATATTTGGAAATAACTTTTTGTAGTTCTTAAAAATAACATACGTAGCATCCGCTACGTCGGGGAAAAATGAATATATATGGATAATTGGTAAAGAAAAGCCCATTCAGAAAAACTGAGAGACATGTGTCCAATATTTTCGACTAAAAAAGGTGTGTGTAAAGTTTCATTAAATTCCGTGACCCACAAGGTTGGCACTCTCCTTGTTAGTTAAAAAACGTTTTTCGGAAAAAAACCACGTATTTAATGAAACACAAAGTCGATTATTACTACCACGTTTTAAATAAATCGGAGATATCAATTGTTTTTTTACGGAAGCATACATGTGGAAAGGGACTTATGATCTTGAAAAAAAAATAGTCATCACAGTGGAAATACATTGGACGGCAAGACCAAAAAAAACATGCCAAATTCGGAACAATCTTGAGTCAATTTTGATTATTTTGATTGTTTTTGATTGCGAAGGTATTGTGCACAACGAAAATTGCACCGACAGCACAAACAATGAATAAAGAATATTATGCTCAAATTTTGAAACGTTTACGAGAAGTAGTGAGAAAGAAACGCCCGCACTTTTGATCAAGTAGTTTTTGTTTCGTCATCACGATAATGTACCAACGAGTATGAAATTGCTTCGGCAATCTCCGTATAACCCCCTGCCAGTTTTAGCTGTTTCTAAGACTCAATAATCCACTCAAAAAACAGCGGCTCAATGAGAAAGCGACGGTTACAAATAATGTAAAGAGAGTGCTGAAGGCCATCAAAACAACTAAGTTCCATGATTGTTTAAAGAAATAGAAACATCGCTAGAACCGTGTTATTTAATCAAGTAGGGATACTTAAATAGATGAGTGATTGCAAAGCTAACTCAACTCAACTTAACTCAACTCTCTTGAGCGACGTATTTACAGAAAAAAACCGCATTTTCAATGTTACAAACTCGTACGTCATATTGGCTACTGACTTTTCTTTGACGTACGATTTTGAATTTCTAATAAATAAATCTCTGAAAGTCAACATTATTGCTATTTTTCTAGCTCCATCGAAGTGTTTTCATACCCGTCAGGCATGTCTTTTTCGGCAATTCTCTTACGGTATAAGTTTTGTCAGGTAGACAAAAGCCATGTCATTTCATATATACCTTCCATTTTTCGACATTCGACAGACTGTCGGATTCTCCCAACTATATAATATATATATATATATATATATATATATATATATATATATATATATATATATATATATATATATATATATATATATATATTTTGTGTGCGTGTGTGCGCGCGCACGCGCGCGTGTGTGTGTGTATGTGTGTGTGCATTTTCTACAGATAAATATGTACGTTTATAATTATTTTTTTGAGATTTCAGAGATTTTCAGTTACAAAACACTATAAAATTTTTTATTTTTACAGAACGTGTTCAAGAACGAGCGGTTACACTTATAGGCGAAGCTTATTCTTCCGTTGATATAAGTACTCTATGTAAAATGACAGGCATGACTTGTGACGATTCACATCAAATTGCATCAAAAAAAAAATGGTCAATAACAGGAAGCGTAGTGAAACCGCATAAAATTTGTAAGTTACCTAATTTAAATACACCAGAAGAAGAAGTAACTGAAGACCAACTTTTTAAGCTTACTCAATTTGTATCTTTTCTTGAAAATTAATTAAACTTTGATGTTTTGCTATAAAGCAATTGAACCAAAAAATATAAGACATACTTGTTTAATAAACTTTTATCTAAACTAATTGACGACTCTTCTTTTTTTACCAACTAAATCATTCAACAAATGAAAATAAACTTGCACTATAATTTAAGTAACTTTATAACGGGTGGTTTGACCGCTGAAGCCACGTTGGCTGTCGACCACCGCTGATATCTATCGTGTAACGGTCCTATCTATAAGCTCTTCTTTTAGTTTGACTGGATTATTGCAACCCGCTAGACTCATGAATCTACATATATCAATTAGTATATTAAACGGCGCCACCTCACATATTATATGATTTGTAACGGGATGGATTAGATAGTACAAAAGGGATTTATTAAAGCACAAACTCCTACGATGCAGAGCTAACCAGCGCTCCGTTTAACACGTATGATTATACGTGTATTCGCCTTTACGTTTGATACTTTCGTTTAGATGTCTTCTTTCCAACCGAGTTGAACTCATCTTAAGTCACCTGACTTGTGACACTCGATCTTAGGTGTGAGTGACCTAATGCTTATTTCAACTAATCCCCTAGATAAAATCGGTTTAAAATTTAACCGGTGATAGATCCGTTAAACTAATAGGAAACGAAATAATTTAATGCAACGAATACAATTAATATCGTTTATGACTAGAAAATTACAGACTTTGACGGGCCCAAAGACTAACGCACGCGTATAGGATTTACAATAATTAACAATAATACGGGGGGAAAGAGAGAGAGAAAGAGTGAATCAAAACCCTACCGCGAAATCTAACGCTTGGCGCGAATACAAAAATAACAGTCGCGATAAACAAAATATTCTCGTAAATATTTTGTTGCGCAGAAAAAGGGAGGTACATCTACCCTGCAATGCAATTACGGTGATCAGCAGTAATTGTTGAAGAAATTCTTTTCTGCCAACGGTTTCCTCCTTAGTAAAGCTGCGCCGGTTCACCGCTATGAAGCTGCTGTTGTTTTGCTAGCTGCTTTAATTACTGCTCTGCTTTACTACTTGTCTCTTACTACTGTGATTGCCTCTACTCTCACTCACGCACGTATCAAAAAACCCAGGAAACTATTTTTGATTATCAAAACGGCGAAACACTGTGCAAAACTAATTTGGCGGTACTCTCTCAAGTAACAGCTGAGGCTTAACTCAAAACTTTGAACTCTCGCGCGCCCTCTCTCTATTAATCGTTCGCTCTAGCATCGCGAGTGCTACCGAATCGCGAACGGATCGATTAATCGAATCGACTACCGTTGCAGATTGTATTAGCACTAGAGTCAAATGTCATGACCATATAAGGAGCGTGAAGTTTCTCTACTTATAGATATAGATATGATAATTTTTATTGTTCAATTAAAATGCCTTATTAAGAGTAATTTCAATGAAACAAAGTATTTTTATATAAATTTTAGGACATAGATTAAGATTATAATATTTTTAATTACTTTTAACTGCTAAATAGTGTGACGGGCGAATCGATCGTTGGATTCGATCGCCCTGTTCGCCTCTCTCTCTCTTCCGCGTGCCTTCCCCTGAGCCGCTGCCACATCGGTCTTGGTTGAGTAAAACCGAGTATCGACGCACGATGTGGCTTTGTTACAGGTCTGATTCCTGATCGGCGGAGATGCCTGGCGTTGGAGGGATAGGCGTGAGCGGGGAGCAGAGGAGGAGAGAGAGAAATAGTGTCGCCGGCATGAGCCGCACATGTGTGCGTAGCCGGCGGCGCTCGGCCGTTTTTGAGTACCTATAGGGAGGGGCGCGTAAGAAATCGCGGAAGGCGCGAGATCGCAATCAGTAGGGTTTCGACCAGTGACTAATTGCTAGCTATTCGAGCCTTGTGACTAGCCTCAGTGAGTATTCGAGTAGCTGATTGCCATCGAACGAGCCTCAGTGAGTGTTCGAGTGGTTGCTTGCCATTGAACGACCATCAGTAAGAAGGAAGACCGGCTGCATCCAGAGTCCCGCCTTTCGAAGTTAACATCGTTTGCTCAGAGGACGCGGACTTCCGCAGCAGCGCTCCCTCTCAAGGTCAGGTACCCTTTTCGTTTCTCGGTGCGCACCTCGATTTCTCTCTCTCCTAGCATCGTATAGGCCGGACGCGGACGAGTGGTTGCATGCGTGAATTCGCATCGCCCTCGCGGAATTCGTGAGATACGTTGTAAGGTGACGTTCTGTTTCCTGTGCGTTAATTCGCACGGAACGAACTTAGCTCGGACTCAGCCGACGCACACGTCAACGCCGAATGTATATTATTGTAGCAATAAAGAGTAAAGTAGTAGAATTGATGAGTTTATTCTGTGTAAACCTGTCTCTCTTGTAATTGATTAAATTGCGATTATCGATATTACCGGACGACATAGCCCTCGTTAAATTTTCGCGACGAAGCGAATGCGCCTTCCGAGCCTTTCCCCTTAAATAATTTGTGACGCAACGTTGTTCGGGCTTAAATTATTAACGTACGTGTTACAATAGTATTTAATTTTAATGTGCAAACTTAATTTGTTTATAACTTTGTAAATGTTAATTATTATAATAAAGCGGATCCTCTGAACTAAAGTTGATTATCTGAGAAATATGAGTAAGAATTCGTTTCATTGATAACAACTTAGTTATTACTGTTATCAATAAATAAACAATTAATAATATATTTAAATAAAGAATTGTATATGAATCGAAAGCGTTAATTTTGTATATAATAACAATATTTATCTAATTTATTAATATTAATTAACCGATTTAATATTTATATTATAAGGCTTGCAAAAATACGAAAATTGATTATGATTCAAATATTATTAATTAATTTAAGTAATTCTTTTTTGCAATTACATCTATAAGCGATAAACTATTTTTATATGTAAACATTTCTAATTATTTTATTATAAACTTTGCGCTATCGTATTAACTAACTTCATTAATTAATAACTTTTATCTCCATTTTTTATGTGTAAATCTAACTTAAATTATCTATATTAACTACTGTATATTTTACATAATTTAGATTTTCATTAGCGTTGTCTATTCTATTGTAAACAATGGAAAATAATTTTGCACCCTTGTGTAAACAGCATGAAGAGGGCTGTCCTGCGAAAACAAGCGGGAAAACGTGTATATAAATACGCTGAATTTTGCATAGGCTTGTATTCTCTCCTAGCCTTGCAAAGTGAGCACTCGAGATTGAATAAACTTGGCTTATACCTAGGTTATTTCTCTCTAGTGATCAACTTAGCAATTCTTTCCTTTCCTATTGTGATTTGCGCTCGACTCTTAGAACATTTCGCGCTATGAGAAAATTGGGTAAAGTTTATTTTTCCTTAAATCCAATCCTAGCAATTATTGATATTTCATTATATGATTTTATTTCAAATTTAATATTCATATATATTTTTTTAAAGTCAAACGAATTCTTACTTATTAATGCAACAGACCACGAGAGTATGAACAAAATATAAATAATAGGTGATATCAACATCATATTCGTTGCGTTGAGCTCGGCTCAAGGTTACATACTGATACTTGCGATATTTTGTAACTTGTAGGCTAATTTTGTTTATTTTTTCGGCAATCTCGCGGACACTGGACCGAACGATACAACCAGATCAGCTACCATCAACTTAACGCTCGTCAACATGAACACACAAGATTGCTAGTGGTCTCGCCCCTACTACTCACACGTGCACTCATACATGCTTTCATTACTAATCTATGTAAATAAGAAAGAGAAGATGAGGAACGACATGAGCTGAAGGAATCTATCTCGTAATTCTCGATCATTTAATATTATTCCGCAAGTTCAGAGAATTTCGGTCGCGATTTCATATTTTGCCGTTGTCTTATCCTTCACCTAACTTGACTTCTCGAGTATAAATTATATTGATAACAAGTTTGGCAGAGCAATCCCTTAAATTTGGTAATTAAAAACAAACACATCACATCAATTATCGATAACGTTTCGTCAGCATGGTCACTGACCTCTTCAGATCAAATAAATATTTTCATTTCTCTTCAGTACATCTTCAATCAGTCACATAATCTGTGTAACAAAAATTTGTTAAAATCGAAATATGATATAAAAATATAGTAGTCAAAACATTTTAGTTAAATCAGTGATCATATTAATAGTTAAAACTGTACTAGTACAGTAGAGGTCAGTGACCATGCTGACGAAACGTTATCGATAATTGATGTGGTGTGTTTGTTTTTAATTACCAAATTTAAGGGATTGTTCTGCCAAACTTGTTATCAATATAATTTATATATAAAAATGGAGAGTACAAAAAATTCTTATTGACTTCTCGAGGGTTACCTGATTATTAAGCGGCCTAGCCACTGGTAAGTAACGACGGGAATTCGTATTAAGCGATTTCATTTTCCAATCTTTGTTGTCTTGCTTGAAATTATATTTTGCTTCGCTTCTGGCTTCATGTTCATTATTTGTTCATTAAAACTATTGTACTCCAGCCTGCTTCTAAATTTCCCGGACTTGTCATCTTAAAATGTTCCGCGTTATTGGTTCTTTCCATTAATTTTGCTTCGCAGACCACTTTGTTCAAGTAATTATGCGTTAGCAATTTTACCGCCCACAATCGAGAACTAATCGCAGTTGATTCATGGTGTGCATGAAAAACATTTCAAAAAATTATAATTATGCTTTTGATTTAATATTATAATGGCGTCTTTATTTGTTACTAAAATTGTTTCCGAAATGTGCAATAAATTTTGTCATTTTGCTCTATTTTACATGCGCTCGTAATGTTAATTTCGGTCACTCTTCGCCTTAATTTCCCTCGCTCTTCTCCCCTCCATCTTTAGCTCGAAAATTGTCGATCAAGAATCTGCCGATGTTAGAGCAACAACGTAAGTACTTGCATTTGATTAAACTCAGAGAGTCGTTGCTCCAAAGTAAAATTTAATTTTCAATTGCCTAGCGCCCAATTGAGTAACTCTGCCGTGCTATACATTGTCCAATAAGATACGACATTATAACTTTTATTTCTAATTTCTAGGATAAAATATTCATGGCATATTTAAATATCAC